GTATGAGTCTCTATAACATTCCACATGAAAAAACAGGTTAAGAGACGCGATGAAAGAAAAAACAGGTTAAGACAAGTGTGTAAATCATTTCTCTTTTTGAAATTGTGAGAAGCTAGAGGCAGGACTAAAGTAGAAGTTGGTTCTGCAACATAATTTAGTTGGCGAATTAAAAAGTTAACTAGTTAGATATGTAAATTAACACCGAAGTCTTCAAAATGCGTACATAATACATATGCATACAGAAGCCCTTTATCTTATATGATTGATAGTAATAATTAGCATGCAAATGTGATGATCAAAGGAGAGTATATCTATGGAGAAGGAATTGCAGATTGCATTGTCCATACAGAAGTGGGGATAGTGATGGTGTTGATGAAGAGTTGGGTCCATCAAAACAAATTGCATGTCTTCTGAAGGTTTCCAATGGCGTTTCCTTTGGTTGATGAACCAATTATTTATCTGTTTAAGTTCCAAACCAGTTTATTCTGCCAGTGCTAGCTTCTGAGCCTCCTGCATTTAATAAACAAGGTCCCTTTATAATATATCGCGCTACCACAACAAGAAACCAAATATTCGTGGTATAATGTTTGCTTATGTTGTTAGAATCAGTATGAACTAAGACAACAATCAACATGATGTATGTCTACGTTTGATTATGTTGTTAGACTGGATAGGAACTACTACAACAAAAATCCACACGATTAATGTTCCGGATTTGCAGTACATCTAGAATGTAAGGATCTAAATGAACAAGGATATAGATGAGTATGAAAAATATACCGATGGGTAGGGCCACTTGTAATGTCTGCACCACCAGTCAAGCAACTGGTGCCGTGCTTCCTTTGGCAATTTTCCATTCTTTTTCTTCTTCATAAACTCCTCCTTCAGAGTGCCCAAATATCCACTGTATTTGTGCAAAAGCTGAACTTTGAGTTCTCTCTATCTTCAGCTTGAGGATCTATGTCATTGATTGCATTAGCCTCTTCTGGAGATCTACCTAGTCCAACAAAATTGCCACCACTAGTACTAGCTGATCAAGCATGCCACAGGATCAGAAGAGAGGAATGTTATAAGGAAGATAATATACAGCCTAGCCAGGAATATTAGTCAAACTCCATGAACCATTAAAGCTTATAAGTATGTCTGGTGGATCGAGAAGAAACTTCATACATAAACTTTCCAAACAAGTGAAAATGACCAACAGAGACAGTTTGGATGACAGTCTATCATACAGATTACATATATGGAAATGGTGAACGCAGTCAAAGAATACACAGTTATTTTCTTCCATTTAGAAGAGAACATTATATTCTTTATTTAGTTGGATTCTTGACAAAATGTTTACAGTTTACCTGACAAATAATCACTTGATGATGACACTTAATTTTTCTCTATCTCCTTCTTCATATATGGGATTTGAACCACATGTAATATCTTCACCTTGTGCAATGAGTACTTATAGGTACTCAATGCCTACACCTATTTAATTAACTGTTCGATTTGATCCAATGGCTTAAACTAAGAAACTGATGAAATCCAACGGTCAAATGTGTCTGCATAGAGTGCTTGTATTAACTAGGAAAAAATCGCACCTTTTATAATATCTGTCATTAGTTACAAGTCTCAAGATCTCAATATATTTTTAGACGTCCCATATTCTAGACAACTAAAGCGAGAAGCGAATCAAAGGTCACAGACATATCTACGGAGTCTTAGATACACATATATACGAGTAAGTTCTCTAGCTTCAAGAGAAAAGTTTCCCTAACTACAAACTAATCATATGGATTTTCTTTCAATATTTTTTCAAAAGAAGTTAAGCACAGCAGGAAGCTACCAAAGGTATGGTCTTCCTAATAGCCAGGTTCATCTAACAATCATGTCCTTCTGCAACGGAGTCATATTTCCAAATCAAAGGCTAAAACCTTTAATGCAGCTCCCACACCATGTCCAGTTCCTACCACAATTAAAGACAAAAGTAAAAATAACCCAGAGGTACGAACTCTGTCTCTCTCAGGTTTTCAACACTAAAAAAATTAGAGGACATAATTAAGCATAAATTTAACTGAGATCAGCTCAAATACCTCCAAGCTTATCATACAACCCTACAGCTAGCTAACAAAAATACAGACGATCCAATTTTGAAATTCCAGTTGATCGACCACAAGGCATCAAAGGTTAAAAACAAACCCCTAAACCATCTAAACCCTTCTGCCTCCAAAAATCCCTAAACTACAAATTTTACACAATTTGCTCAAAAGTCATAATAAAATACTGTGGAATCCCAAAAAATTACAATAAATCTGAGAAATTAAACACACACAAAAAAAAAAAAAAAAAAAAAAAGGGAAAATTTCATTGCGAATTAGGAAAAATATAAAACAACTACCTCCTTAGAGCACTGATCTGAGGAACAGTGAAGACGACGGTGCTTCCTCAGAATCTCAGATCCGGTCTCGGACTTCACCGACTCGACGACTTTGAACTCCTGCAGCTTCTTCAACTCCATCTGAAGCTTGTCTTGCTCTTGGCCCTTTGTTTGGAGCTCTTTCTTCTTGATCTTCGAGATCTCTTCCTTCTTCTTCAGGAGCTTTTCGGTTTCTCCTTCTAAAGACTCGTTGCCTGAAGCTTCTCTTGCATTTCTTCAACTTCTTTCTCGAACGACAGACAGTTGGGATCTGAGCGTGAGATGCAAAGAGAGGGAGAGACGGATCGATTGAGATAGAGAGAGATGCGGAAAAAAACAGGAGAAGAAGACTGAAAGAGAAATTAAAAAAACTTTTACCAAAGTTGAAAAAACATGTAAAAAAAACTTTGGTGTCAGGATAAATTTCAGTTTACTACTCTTAAATTTCGTGGTTTTTAATATTTGGTACATGAAATTTTTTTCGTCCTAGAGTCATACCTAAAGTGTTAATTTTGGGACAGTCTCGTACATCTGTTAGTTTGGCTGTTAAATATTCCGCTAACTAATGACGTGGCACCCATGTAGACAATGATTGGGCGTCACGTGTCATTAAGGGGTCCACATGGAAATTAAAAATTAAAAAAAAATAATTATTTAAATGAAAGAAAGAAAAAAAAGAAAAAAAAAACCCAGATCCTCTTCGTCTTCCCCAGAATCCCCACCCGTGCCCACCCTCTCACCCCTCATCACCCACCCCTTCCCCCATCCTCCATCACCGACAACCACTTCCCTCTCCCCACTTAACAAAACAGGGGGCTGATGGAGAAGAGAATCCAGCTGCTATCACTCAAATTCGACGAAAAGGTCTCTATTGAATCGAAACTTAATGGGTTTAATGGGTTCAGGGGAGTCTTGTACGCAATGAGGAACGTGAGCTTGCTACTGCTAATGATCCTACTGTACGAGCTGGTGTTCTGCTGACCGGAGGAGGAGTCGTTCATGGTATCGACGGCGAGGTTGCAGCAAACAGTTGTGGCGAAGATCAGGCAGATCAGGAAGAGCGTGGGGTTCTGATGTGGGAGTTCAGGAGGTCGAAGGCAGTGATGAAGGAGCTAAGGGGGGATCTGGAGAGGAGGGGACCACGAGGGGTGGTGGAGTGGGGAGGAGGAGAGCGACGACGGGATTTTTGGGATGGGAGAAGGGGGTGGGCTCGGGTGGGATGGAGGTGCAGTATGGAGGGAACTGGTTACGAGTGATGGGGGGTGGGAGGTGGGCACGGGTGGGGATTCTGGGGAAGACGAAGGGGATTTGGTTTTTATTATTTTATTATTTTATTATTTATTTTTACTTTTCTTTAAATAATTATTTTTTTTGAATTTTTAATTTCCACATGGACCCATTAATGACAAGTGGCGCCCAATCATTGTCCGCATAGGCACCACGTCATCAATTAACGGGAGACTTAACAGCCAGACTAACGGATGTATGAGACTGTCCCAAAATTAACACTTTAGGTATGACTCTGGGACCAAAAAAACTTCATGTTCCAAATGTTAAAAACCACGAAACTTGAGGGTAATAAACCAAGATTTACCTCAAAAATTTTATAGTTTGACACTAATGAGTGGTGTTTACAAAGCCACTGATGAAGAACGGTGTCCTCAAAACGGTACTCTATAGCACATTTTCTAGTAGTGATATTTTCTTATTATTAAACGTGTGTGCATATTAGCTATTATACTGGGAATTAAAGGCAAACTATAAGGTTGTGGTGGCGATGGAATAAAAGCTACAGGATCACATATTCTCTTCACTGCACTATTCAGCAAACTTATCTAACTGGCTTGTAAATTGGCGATATTCAAGTCAAACAATGCCAATAGGAAAGAGTTAGGAGTCTAATTAAATTACTGAAACTACATACATATATCCATATATACACACATACACATACATATACCCACACACACACACACACACACACACACACACATATGTATCTTTTCTTATTATTCGAACGTGTGTGCATATTAGCTAGTATACTGAGAACTAAAGGCAAACTATAAGGTTGTGGTGGCGATGGAATAAAAGCTACAGGACCACATATTCTCTTCAGTGCACTATTCAACAAACTTATCTAACTGTCTAGTAAATTGGATATGCTCAGAATATGCTATTATGCATGGCCGGTTTCAGACTCTCCTTCTCCTAGTCCATATGACTGTTTATATAATCATATTGAATCCTCAATCTGTTCATCGTCAAATCATGTCTTCCCCCTAAATATTTAGGGTGAGATAATCCACATAGGAGATGGAAGAGGCAAAACAAAAAGGGAAAAAAATAGTGAGTTAGAGAAAGAGAGAGAGAGCAAGCTATTCAGTAGTCAAATATGCATATGGATGCATTACTGGACAATTACTCCTTTGGTAGTGAACTACTATATGCATGTATACTTTAGTGATATACTAGAAAATGTGCCCGCGCGTTGCTGCGGGACTTAAATGCATCACCTTGAACTACATGAATAAGATACATTTTACTTGAATAAATTCAACACAATCATAAATGAAGAAAGGGATAGATGAGTGAATGAGGTCAGTACGATATGCAGCTTCGTTTTTATATACATTCAACTGAGTTGACATGAAAAGACATTGTATAATGAACAGGACGAAACTGAACGTTTTGGTTCCCTAATAAACAGAAGTAACATACAGTTCACACAAATCTTGCCCCTGTAGTCAATGTGGCAAAATATATATCCTATAGGTTAGGCAACATAAAAACTGTTTCGTTCTTATTCTAGCATCAAAGTTTTCAAGCACAAACGTGCAAAGCAAAAAACATGCAAGACGCCTGTTTCAGTAAGAAACGGAAGTAACATTCAGTCCACACGTATTTTGCCTTGCAGTTAAGATGGTGTTTCGTTCTTGTTCAAGCAGCAAAGTCTCGAAGCAAAAATGTTGAAAGCCAAAAACATGTAGAACGCCCTGCAGCAGTCGTTCTTGTTTAAGCAGCTAAGTCTTCCGCACTATAGCAAAGAATATAAATCATAGTTTAAAAGAATATCTCACGATGGTCCTGTTTAGAATCACAATTTACTCCCTCCCAATTTCCACCTAACTCCGAACAAACAATGTTGATAAATCTTTATCATCACCTTTAACAAAACAGATCACATCGAAAAGAAGCAAAAAAGTTCCTATGCAAACAAATTCTTCTGGATGTCCAACTTAACCCATCTCTGGGAAGGCAAGCAATCGGACGTGCATTTAGACCAATGAAAATAAATTATACAATTAAAAACATCAACCGATCCTCCTGAAGAGAACACACACACATGCCAACATATTATTCACCAGATTCTAAGCTTTCATTTTCGTTCTATCCCTTTCGTTATCAAAACAGCAAAAGAATCATAGAGCAACCTTCAATCATTTATCAAAACTGAATTAATTAAACTTCTGCTCAGCACTCCGTTAATTTTAATTGCAACTCTCATTCTAAAAATTAAAAATTTTGCAATTGAATAATCAAACTCACTTACACATTACATTCCTTTTATTGGTTTTTGACACAATACATTTTAGGATTTGATGTTACAATAATATCACTGCAAGCATGAATTGCGATAGATATAGAAACCAAACTTGCACACAAATGTTCGACTGAATTCAGAACCACTTAATTCAACACAAAAAATTACCTCACATGCTTGCTCCCCTTCTGCTCTCACATCGTTGGCTGCGCTTCTAAACGATTAATGAAGTCCTAAAACCAGAACAACAAAAAACGTTTACCTATCCAACATTTCAACATAAGCATGATATAGAAAGACAGAAATCCACATGTTGCTTTGTTTTTTCAGAACCAACACCCTCTCCTCTCTCCCCCATATCACACACCCCCACCCCGTGAAGGCACTGACACCAGACCACCTCCCTAGAAACCGGCCCTAAAAACCCATACCCATACCTCCCTTACCCGTTACCTTTCTCAAAGCAAAAAGTGTTATATATGATAGTACTCACCCCAATCTGGTTAATGACATTCACTGCATAACGCTCACCAGTAGGTATAGTCTCGCTCTTTAAGAAAGGCCTGAGGTCAAAATTGGCAACAACAAATTAACAAAGCAAAATGAAAGATTAAATCTAGTCACCACAAATATTTTCTAAAATGGAAGATAGACCAGAGTCAAACAGGAAAGGGATAGCAGACACGGTGAGCTTTGTCTCAGTTTGAAAAGAAAAAAGAAAAGAAAATTGGGTAGTTTCAGGAGCAATAACTATGTTGAGTATAGTGAAGGGGGAAAGCCATACCTTCCTATGAATGAATTTAAAAGAGGGGATTTTTCTGCATTTTTAGGACAAAAAACGAAGCAGCTAACATTTCTTTCTGTTTTTTGCCTTTTATGATCTTCTGATCTTCTAGTAACATGGATAGCTGAAGCAGAACTGCCATTGTATCCAACATATATCAAATTCGCCAAACTTTGGTTTGGATATAACAGTGTCATGAGGGCCCACTGGATCTACAGATTCAGAAAAACTCTGTGAGCCATTCACATATACCTGTCAAAGTGCACAACACCATTAAATGCTAGAGTTGACATCTACCTGTTCATCCACAGAACAGATACAGTGAAGGAGACACAGAAAACAAACCAAGCTTCGAGTCCCGATGTCTAATCTAAATTAGAGAACGCTCACCCAGAAGACAAAGTAATACACATTTCTTAGGAAATTGTTTTGCAGTAGAGGCTATATAAGTGATCATTTCAGCAACCTGTTGCTGAACTTGCGTTTATCAAGACATAACAAAGTAAAGCAAACAAAAAAAGGCATTGTTAAATCTTCCTAACTAAAAATTCATAAAGTAACACCACCAAAACAAACAAAAAAACGCGTTGTTAAATCTTCCTCACTTTAAAGCAAAAATTAAGGAATATCCCCACCGTAAAAAGTAACACCACAAAAAAAAAAAAAAAAAAAAAAACAAAAAAGGCTTCGTAAAGACAACACTCTTGTTAAGATACCCCAACTAAATCAGTTAGCAGCAAGAGAACAACATGGCAATGGGAGTCTACAAAAAGGAAAAAGAACAGAAGATATAAAATAGTAGACAAATGGTCATAGTTATATTAATTGAAATTGTTCAAAAAAAAAAACAATGATGAATACATACTTGAATAAAAAAATTGATTAATTCATTATAATGGTTTCTTGGAACCCAAGTAGAAAAGGATACAACTTAATAACAATGGAAGCCACAAACCTATGTCATTTCTTATTCGGGATCAAATAGAGCATAACATACTTCCAAAAGTATATAAACGATATAATATAGGTTAGAATCGTTGGATATTAATCTACAGTGAAGGAAGCTGTTAAACATATATGCTTAGGTAAATGATTTTCAGGCACCCTTATTTTTTCTTGCCACTGGACTGAACAAAAAAAATGAGAATGAAGGGCTAAATCACTTCCAGTTAGTCTTCTTATTAGGCTGTGACCAATCTACAGTACATGTAACATCATATTTGAAATCGAATTAACAGTTTTGAATCCTATTTGGATCACCAAATCTTATTTATTGATTCAGAATCGATTAACAACATATTTGGATAGATCAGAGTTAATTTAAAACCTAGAAAATATTAAAATATAATGAATGAGTAACCTCATTATTATTATATTTTTCGATTTTAATTAAACTACCACTACAGAAAACCATAAGTAATATAAAGATCAAAGGATATGTTATATTAAGTCATACTATATCAAGTTGGACTGAATTAGCCTTGATTTATATAGATCCATTTATAATCGGATTATCAAATTGAGATCCTAGCAATTGCATATTCTTTATTCATGGTACTATAAAAATGGGTATATACTAAGTTGGAATCACTACAGCAAAAAAATAAAAAAATAAAAAAAAACAGAGAATGCAGCATTTTCTCATATTTTCGAATCAATTCTAAACCCTAAAATCGTTACGGCTAGACCTTTTATTCACACCTCAGTTGTTGCTGTATCCCTACATCTATGAATCCAATTTCATTCAAGAAACAATGCAGAGGATAAAATCGAAAAAGAAGTATGTACCCATGATTAGTTGTCTCGTTTATTCTTTACAAACTAATCACATATTTAAAATCTAAGTACAAAAGCTTTGCAAAGGTAATAAAAAAAAATGGTGTATAACTAATTAGGCTTTTGAACATGTAATCAGTGTGCAGAATTGTATACCTAAAGATGGCAATGCAGTGTATTCTTCCTCCCAGAATCAGGGTTCCTGAAATTTCCAAAGAAAGTAAATCCGTTAGGAAATCCGAGAAATTGGAGGAGCAAATATCATTAAATTTGAGTTAAATGAGGTAACATACAACAATTAAATGAGATAGTAAACAGATTTCAAATCTAGGAAATGTAATGGTTGAAATCCAACCAAATCTAATCGTTCAACCTAATGCGTTTAATCCGAAATCTAATGGTTGAAATCCAACCAAACCTAATCCTTAAACCTATTCAAATTAAAACCATATGCCAATTGGCAAATTGGCAGATCAGAGTTGAGTGGAAAATGGTTGACTTGACTAATAAGTGAGTGATGAGTTTAAAACTCATCACATTTTCTCACATGCATTCTCCTTGGTCTTGGGATGGCGCAAAAACAAAACCACCATCCCACCACCTCCACCTCCACCTCCACCTCCACACCCACCTCTACACTCACACAGAGTCGCTAATACAACCCAACCCAACCCAACCCATGTGGCAGACACACATTTCAGACTCCCAATTTATTCACTCATAACTTCATAATTCAAATTAACAATGTGAAACCAAAGATGGTTACATCCTTGGCCTTCACAAATTTTGGTTAGAACTATAACGTTGTTTCAATTTTTAAAATTTGATAACAGCAAGCAACAGAGCAGATAGTATTAAGATCGAAAAAGCATTCCAGAAACCGTGGGAAACCTGTAAAAGCTAAAAAAACTGTGATGGTGGAACGGATTAAATTTGTGAGAGTGCAACAAACAAAGGGTATATCTCAGAAGGGTTTAACTGACGACCAATCATTTAGACTTGATAATGTTCTGAATTATCAGCCGGATAAAGCTGTTAGGATGTATTTTGGAATCAGTCCTCTCACAGATCAATTAATTCAAATCGTAGTTAAATACTAATAGTGGCTTTAAAGAATGTAGGCTTGGTTTTAAAATAAAATAAATAAATAAATAAACCCAGAGCTTTCAGTTTAAGCACCACCCTCCAATGCCAACAGAAAACACACACAAACAGGACATGATTAACATGAAAATGAAGCTGAAACGAAAGTAAAGTTGAGCCTAAGTTGAAATGGATTAAAAGGATGATTTTTGCAGCTGAAGAACAACATTGTTACCATTCAAATACAAACATATAAGAGAATAACATATGTTTGAACTCTTTGTTCAGCGTTGAAATAGATTTGGATGACTAAGAACTCCCACTGTCAACCCTTTGGTACCACTAAAGAACTGTATATTTATTTGCAGATGATCAATTGAAACACCCCACAGATCAATTAATTCAAATCATAGTTAAATACTAATAGTGGCTTTGAAGAATGTAGGTTTGGTTTTAAAATAAAATAAATAAATAAATAAAGCCAGGAAATTAGTCTTACTCTTCTCAAATTGATGTTTCACACTTTTAGTTGCATGCCAAAAAACCAGGACATGTGTATGCTGGTGTTCTCAAATCCAAATAATACGAAATGATTCTCTCCAAGTTGATGTTTCACACTTTTAGTTGCATGCCAAAAAACCAGGACATGTGTATGCTGGTGTTCTCAAATCCAAATAATACGAAATGATTCTCTCCAAGTTAGAAAAAGGACACTATATACTGTATCAACAAAAAAATAGAAGGAAAAAGTTTTCATGAATAAGGAGATGATAACGAAAGGTTTAGGATATACCTGCTGCTATGAATTATAGATTCCTGTGGATGAGGCTCTTTGTTTCTCAAAAACTTGCAGGTGGTTGAGCTGCAAGGATACATGACATGGTGAGCATCTGCCCCTCAAGTATTCATATCTACAAACCCTCGTCTAAAGAAAAATTCATCCAGAAATTAATCACTGAGTATGCAAGGTTGGCTTGCATATTCACGTTTAATCGTGGCCAGGATGATAGGAGTTAAAAAAATACGAAAACAGGAATGATGTAACTTTACTTAGATTTCAGGATTCTAAAACCTATTGCTGAGATTTGAGAAACATAGGAAATGTGTTTCATGATTTCAAATTAGATTTGCATAAGAGTTCAAAAACGCAGACATGCCTTCTTTGCATTCCCCTAAATGCTAAACGCTAAACCCTAAACCCTAAGCTTTCAACACCAAAACACCCAAATAGTACCAAAATTTTGCAATGTGCAGGGAATATACTAAAAAAACTTAAGCACCATCTATCTAAACAAAATCAAAGAACCCAAACCATATACAAAATCTCCAAAATCAATTTACCCAACCCCTAAATATATAATAATAATAATGATTCTAGTAGAAATTCCAATCCATTACAACAACACAGAATACCAGGTATTGCTGGATGTAGATATCCAAAACAGCGGCACCCATCAATTGATCCAATTACGTATCCATTCCCTATCCATGGCATACAAAGTATGTACTCCCTGTTTACATGTTCTAAAACATTTAGTAGACCAGCAATCAAAATTAACAACCCTAATTGTTGAATACACCAAGCTCTCCAACTGAAAATGTTTAATTAAATTTTCCAACTTAAAACCCTAAATTAAATCCTACAAATTGAAATAGCAGAAACAGAATTAGAGAGAAGGAAGAAATCACTGACCTTCGAGTTGTTGAAAGCTCTGACTGGTGTTTCTTTTCATCCAGCCCTAAAAACAGAACCCACAATTGTAATATAATAACCAATCATTGGTCAAGAATCAAATTAACCCAGCCTGTGTATAGAAAAATTGAACAAATTTAAACATTTATATGTATATTCCAGTAAATGCACTGAACCCTAAATTGCAAAACTACGTCAGACTGATTGAAGAAGAGAAACAGAGAGGGAGAGGGAGAGTGAGTGGGACGGAGAGAACCCTAAAAACAGAACCCTCTGGAAACCTAATACAAAATCAAGCCAACAAATTCCATTTCAATTTTGACAAAAGAAATGGAAAAAGAATAATGAAAACCGGAACGAATTACAGAGGAACTGAGGGGTTTATGCATCAGCAACGTGATAAAACCCAGAAACACAAAACATAATATGTATCAGCTACAAAAACCCAAATAAATAAATAAAACACTCAAATTTCTATGTAAAAGCAAACATATTTTGACCCCAAAACGAAGATGTCATATATGGAGGAAGAGAGAAGCGATAGAGAGGGAGATACTAACTCAAACCCACCATCTCTTTACAGCCAACACACTTATTCCCTCAACCCTACCCTCAAATCTTGTACCCAATCAACTCTCTCTGTCCCCCTAATCGTGCACCCATCGTCACCTTCTCTCTGCAACCAAGGACATGATTAACATGAAAATGAAGCTGAAACGAAAGTAAAGTTGAGCCTAAGTTGAAATGGATTAAAAGGATGATTTTTGCAGCAGAAGAACAACATTGTTACCATTCAAATACAAACATATAAGAGAATAACATATGTTTGAACTCTTCGTCCAGCGTTGAAATAGATTTGGATGACTAAGAACTCCCACTGTCAACCCTTTGGTACCACTAAAGAACTGTATATTTATTTGCAGATGAGCAATTGAAACACCCCACAGATCAATTAATTCAAATCATAGTTAAATACTAATAGTGGCTTTAAAGAATGTAGGCTTGGTTTTAAAATAAAATAAATACATAAATAAAGCCAGGAAATTAGTCTTACTCTTCTCAAATTGATGTTTCACACTTTTAGTTGCATGCCAAAAAACCAGGACATGTGTATGCTGGTGTTCTCAAATCCAAATAATACGAAATGATTCTCTCCAAGTTAGAAAAAGGACACTATATACTGTATCAACAAAAAAATAGAAGGAAAAAGTTTTCATGAATAAGGAGATGATAACGAAAGGTTTAGGATATACCTGCTGCTATGAATTACAGATTCCTGTGGATGAGGCTCTTTGTTTCTCAAAAACTTGCAGGTGGTTGAGCTGCAAGGATACATGACATGGCAAAAAATTAGAGGGAAAAAGAGTTTGTATCCAAACACAGTAAGGAGAATTATATTAGAAATTAGTTTGTATAAAAGTTAACAAAAGTTAACAAAAAATTTTTAAATGGATTGAGAAATACCTCAGTAATGGTCTCTTTGGTGGCTGTTGTGTGAATGAGGGGTTTGATGTGTATGCTTTTGCTGGATCTACATGCATATGAAAAATAAAATTTATAAGTGCATCCCAAAAATACAGAAGCAACCAAGAAATGGAAAAACAACCTAGGAACATAGAGATATTCGAATGATGTGTATCCTTTTCTATGTCATTTCATATCAATATAACACCCCTATACGTACACACACATACCAAAACAACCTACATTCAGATTTGCATCATATCCTTGTTTCTAACTCTCTGGGGAATTTTCACAAACACCTAATAGGCAAGATTTGCTTCCATTTAAAAGAAATCTGATTTAATCAGTGATCTCAATTGCATGTATATCTGAACGACCATGCTTGTTAGTCAGTCATGTTATAGGATGTATTTAACACTTACCAAGTGGTTCCAAAACAACATCCTACATACATATTATGTTGCCAAACTATGAATCAAGACCGAACTTTCCTACTTTGGTAATGTAATCTCCTAGTCTAGTTACAATTTGGTTCATGTATTTTGACCTGAAAACAATTTTGGTCCTCTAGAAGTTGCCAATGGCACCCGAATTGTAACTGGAAAACAACTCAGACACAACTATGAAAAATTAAAACTCCAGGCACCAAAGTGTGAGAACAAAGAAACCAAAAAAGTTAAATCTACCCTTTTATATCATACATACCATTAAAAATTTGTTTAGAGATAAAAATGGTAGTCATAGTAGAGAATCCAACCTGACCAAAGAAAGTGGATTTCCTCACTTTCTAGTGCTATTATATTTACCGTGCTTGAGACTATTCAAAGATGAAAAAAGTGGAAATTTCATGCAATATGAAAACAAATACCTGATAGTTAATACTGCTTACCATAGAAGCTAACAATCTTATTTTGTACGAAAAACATGAAGATCACTAAAAGACACCAGAATATAACTTTCATCAATGACATACTTTATGAGAATTTTGGATCCAAAAGTGGCTCCAATAAAATAAATTTAGGCTTGTATATGCAATATATTAACATGAGAAAAAAAACATGCATCCCTAATGAAATAATGAGGAGAATGGCCTTTGACCATTTGTTGTCTTTGATACAACTCTTTTCATCCATGCCTTCATGTTTGTATCCTTTGGGACATTGACATGAATAATTTCCAGGTGAATTTATGCATGTTTCAATATCTGGAAAGTAAGGAACCATGGACGAACATCAGTTAAAATCCCAATTTTTAAATTGGTTGAATTGGGAAAGAACTATTTGTACATTCACATGGTGTTGAGAGAAATAACCTTGAAAATAAAGCACTATACATACACAAAATCTGTTCAGTATAAAAAGTAGCAAGAAACAAATGTAATTTTCAGCTTCTAACTCATCCATTTGATCAACATATTGATGGAACAAATGTAACTTTCAGTTTCTAACTCATTCATTTGATCAATATCATCCAAGTCAGAAAAGATAGATCATAAAAATGATCAGGATATATAAATAGGGGCTTCATCTGAGTCAATATCAGCCACCATTCCCTAAAAAATTGATGTCAGGACTCTGCCAAGCATCTATGAAGCCCCTTCAAAGAAAGACACTTGTTAAGGAACAAAACGGTGAAGAATACAAAAGGTAAGTAGCGACAATCATCAACTCAGCTACATATCCAGCACAATAGCCAATGTCTTCCTCTCTTTTAGCAATATGCAAATCCCTAATCTGCAAACAATAATTTGGAATCTTGAGATACCAAATCGACTTCAACAGGGTTTGAAGGTTGCATTTTTCATAAAATTTAAAAACTAAAAGCAACAACAATATTAATAAGTGAGCACTCACCAAAAAATAAAGGAATGGAAAGAGCGATGATATTGTCATTGCTACAAAACGATCATCAAACAATAGATCAAGGTTAAAACATTTATAAAAAAGTTAGAAGATGGTGCAGATATAAACATTACTTAATAAAATTGATAAATGATTTCGAGCATGACAATGCAATCAAATTACAGGATCAGCTCTTCCGCCTTCAAACACACTCATCAACACCATATTAAATTTCACATTTTTAGGCGAGGGTAAACTACCAGAAACGAAAAGGATTTATACCTTTTATCAAAGATCTACAGCCTTGGTTCCTCCGCCATTGCTTGTCTTCTCCTGCCTGGGTTTTACATTCCTGGCAGTCTCCTCCTTCCTTGGTAGTTTTTTGTCCTGCAAAGAGAAAAAAATTAGGATTAAATTCTAAACGCAAGGTTCCTTGATTCTTCTGCTTCAGAAATTTGTTGTCGCATAGCCAAAAATTAGAGAAAATAGGCTTTGGTTCAGAACTTACTCATTCTCTGCAGACACGGGTTCCTCCTCAATTTTTGTCATCCTCCTCTTTCTGCGATCTCTCTCTGTCTCTCTCCTTGTCTCTGTGCAATCGTTCCCTCCCTCTCCCTCTCTCTCTCTCTCTCTTTCTGCGTTTTTCCCTCTGTGCAAGCCCATACTCACCAACTCCCTTAATCAACTCTCTCCATTCTCTGTCCGTGAAGCATCAATAATCTGAAAACCCAGTTCGATTTTTCATTGCTCGGATGGAGAAAATTAAGGAATGAAAGAACAAATTAGGGTTAGCACTAAAGTTGAGAGCGATGGACAATTGAGAGAAAGGAAGAGTCTAAAAGAGAGAGAAACATAAAGGATTAGAGAGAGGTTGAGTGTGACAGAGATGAGGGGAAAACACGGGATGGGATTACCAATCCCTGAAATCAAATCCCTCAAATCACTCATCTGAACGTGCAACAGAGCATGGTCCCATCGACCCCATTCTGGTTCAGAAACAAAGGAAATGAAAGTTCCCCTCTAACCAATGCTCGTTCAATCACCGACAACAACAATTGATTTGGGGATAAAAAATCAACCCTAACCCCCTTTTTGGCAGCCTCACTCCTCCCTCTCCCTTCCCCTCCCTGCCATCCCACGCCTCTCTCCCTGAAATCCGTCCACAAATCCTCCCACACCAAATTTAGATCAAACCCTAATTTCTAGAATAATGATAAAAATCGACAAAAATATATCCAATTGGCACGTTACCATTGATTCGAGTTCTGGTAAGGAGTGCGGCGGCGAGGTAAGGCGAGGTGTGCGAAGGCGAGGGGAAGGCGAGGTGTGCGACGGTGAGGCGCTGAATTGACTTTGTCGTTGAAGAGCTCTGGAGCAAAATGGGCTTGTCGTCGAAGAGATCTCTGGAACAACATCGGGTTTGCTTCCATCCCCCACCCTTTCTACGATGGTCGACACGTACACGCTGAAGGGTGGCAATTTCGTAAATAAATTGAAATTTTCAATCTGAAACTGAAGAGGCAGTGGCAATCTTGTAAATAAACTGAAATGTGGTGCAAAACACTGTTCATTTCTACAGTGCAATTTTGCCAGCTTCTTTAGACTAAAGTAATGTGTGTGTGTGTGTGTGTGTGTGTGTGTGTGTGTGTGTGTGTATATTTGTATGATTGTAGTAATCGTACGTCGTCTGTGCTCACTGCCAAAGGAGATTTGTCCTGCAATTCATCAGCTGTGCAAAGTAAATTCATATCCAACCCAGTCATATATGCATATGTGATCATGAGTCGTCTCCAACTCCTACAAGACGTCCCAACAGCAACAGGTATGGATATAGAACTCCCGCTAGGCCAATACCTTATGTATATGCATGCGTCACTGGTGGATTGGCACATATATGTATATAGATATATATATATATATATATAGCTCATAAACATTGAAGAGATTAATATAAACAAGACTTTCTTTATGTTCTTGGTATAAATATAGGGCTTAGCTCATATTCTTATTGCACCACATGTGTTTAATTTAATTGATCAACTAGCCTGAAAGAAAAATCAATAAAAGCGTTTGGTTGCACCACATGGGTTTTGATTGATCACCTAACTTTGTGAGAAGGCTTGAATGACACTCACACGAGTTCACATTTAATGTATCGTTTTGTGCAAAATGTCATTATACAAAGAAAAACTTGCATATAACATAGGGACGAAACCCTTTGAGGGTAGCCTTGGGCTGCAACCCATGTGAGATTTTGAAAATAAAAATATTAGTTGTAGTTTTAATGATTTAGAACAACTCAGCCCAAGTTAGATGCTTCACTTAATTTAGGTTATGTGATTAGGATTACTGTGTTGTTTATGTTTGTTGAACTTTTTTTGTCAATTGTTGAGTATTTTGAAGAATTCTCATTTTATTAAGATTTTACTTAGTATGTTGTACATATTTGCATTGCATGTTTGTTTCTTGCATTTGTTGTATGTTTTTGTATGCATTTTGAAGATGCTCAGTTATGTCCGTCTAACTAGGTACATATTTGTTATTTATTAATGAAATTTATTTGTGCCGTCGAGTTTTTTATTTTATTTTTTTACAAAGGTTTCATTTATGCCCAATGTATATTTTAGTCGAAGACATGAGAAACAATACTATAAGGTTTTTAATAGGTTACGTAGCCTAGAAATTCTGCCTTCATGATGTCACTATAATAATGTACATGTGGCATAAAATTTCAGGTTCATTAGATATTGGTCCTGAAAAATCATGATTTCTAAACATAAACTCACATATAATTAAACATCCAACAAAAATCCAAAAGTCAAATAAACTGCCACATAAGAATATAAGTAACCTACTAATACAAATTATTTACAATTTTTGCCACAACCCACACTTGAAAATTAGCTTCAATCAAGGGCCTTAAAATCTAATTAATCATCCTGATGTTTTCTCTATTTATTTATTTTTAATTTCTACAACAATCTAGTGCATTACTTTAAATAATGACTACATTATTATTCGGTGTAATTGTTCTCTTTATATATAATAGTTAAACGTCCCTAATTTACCTATATAAATAATATTGCCCTATAGTCTGTAATTTACCTATATAAATTGTGACATCCCACATCGCCCAAGGGAGTGAGCCTTATATGTATATTCTCATCTCTACCTAGCACGGGGCCTTTTGGGAGCTCACTGGCTTCGGGTTCCATGGGAACTCCGAAGTTAAGAGAGTAGCGCACGAGAGCACTCCCATGATGGGTGACCCATTGGGAAGTTCTCATGTGAGTTCCTAGAAACAAAACCGTGAGGGCGTGGTCGGGGCCTAAAGCAAACAATATCGTACAATATCGTGTTACGGTGGAGTTGGGCCCGGGAAGTGGTCTCGCTCGAGCCAGGATGTGACAATTTGGTATCAGAGCCTAACCTTGGTCGTGGTGTGCCGACAAGGACATCGGGCCCCTAAGGGGGGTGGATTGTGACATCCCACATCGCCCAGGGGAGTGAGCCTTATATATTCTCATCTCTACCTAGCACGAGGCCTTTTGGGAGCTTACTGGCTTCGGGTTCTATGGGAACTCCGAAGTTAAGCGAGTAGCGCGCGAGAGCATTCCCAGGATGGGTGATCCATCGAGAAGTTCTCGTGTGAGTTCCCAAAAACAAAACCGTGAGGGCGTGGTTGGGGCCCAAAGCGGACAATATCGTGTTACGGTGGAGTCGGGCCCCGGGAAGTGGTCTTGCCCGGGCCGGGATGTGACATAAATAATATCGCCCTATAGTCTGTAATTTACCTACAGTATATAAACAAAATATTCTCATATTTCTTTTGGCAATTTACCTATGATATATGCAGATAATATTCTCATGTTTTGTTGGCATTTTTCCTAAATTATGCAAGTAGGTAAATGTCAATAATAGTAGGTAAATTATGCACACGTGATTTACCTACATGTTTTATGTGAATCAAATATCTAGACTGTATATGTAAATAATTTACCTATAGTTGGTTCTTTTTTTTTTCTTTGTCCTAAAATTAATTTACCTGCAATTTTTATCTCCTTTAATTTATATATTTTTACATAAACAACAAATTTTTTTATATTTTTTAAAGTACAATAATTTACCTATATATAATATGGACACGTTGTAATGGTAAATTGGAATTCGAGAGCCAAACTAACCAACAAATCCCTACATTTATATGCAAAATATTATTTTTGTAAAATCATTAATTCTCCCTTATAATTTGCATAGAATTAATTGTGTACATTAAACATTCAATAAGGGTGTTTTAGGCATCCGAAAAATTTTAAATGGGTAAAGTCAAACATAATTAATGAATTTGCTTATGTGGAGTCTAGTCAATGTGTTTTATTTGAGCAAAAAATTTACGTCGGGTTTTATGTGGAGAAAATTGAGTTCCAAAGGCTAAAGTCATATTTTCAGTCAAATTTAATGAAAACTAATGAAAATGGCTTGAAAACTTTGAGTTCTAACGATAAGGATAAAATAAAAGGTAAAGTACATAGTATCAAAATTGATTTTTTAGTGTAAAAATATGATTTTTCGTTAAAATAAACAATACCGGAAGCTTTTCATTACTAAAATTTACTCCCAAGCTATTGTATGACTCATTTAGGTGCATGATGATCACAACAGGGGTTTGACCAGCTTTGATGTTGCCACGTTCTTCAGTATTTTAGAAGAAAACTTATATATTATCAATAATTAAGCATCGATCAGTCAAAGGAAATAAATATGTACACATCTATACAAACAGTTCAGTGTGAGTGTAACCTTCAATCAGGCACGAATCCAAGATTAAAAAATAGGGTGAGTTGAACCTTTAGTTAATTTTTCCTCGTCTAAACTTTTGACAAAGTCTCATATGTTTTTATGAATTTTTTCAATTTATACAGCCTGTGAAACCTTGTCTTATTTATTTCTTCATCTTCAACTACAACATCCTATATATATATATATATATATATATATATATATATATTCGGGCGTATGTAAAGTTATTTATATAAAACAATGATTGAAGAGTAGGAGACGAGCTGGTATGTCAGATCGATATCGGGTGGGCAGTAGATGTATCAAGTATAGCAAAGATGGCTGAACGTACTGTTAACATCTCCTCGGGTGGGCTGCAGCGCAACCCAACCCAACCAAGGCTGGGTCTGTGCCTGCCTTCAATATACAGTTCCTTGGAAAAAGTTAGTTAGACCTAATATTTCCAAGAAACAAGAAAAAGACAAGAAGAAAGAAGAGGGAGGAGGAAGAGCCTCTGGTTAGGAGTACGTGTAGTGTGAACTCTGGATCAGTACTGCCCATTTGGGAACGACCAATTGGTTGAGAGGAAGATGCACGTGTAAACTTGGATTATCCAGTCAAAACGTGACCCAGTCAGCTGGGTGTTTTTTTTTTTTTTTTTTTTTCCTGGTAATCTGGAAATACACCAGGGCAGAGCCAAAAAGACGACAGGAACAGAGGACAAACCAAGCTGAAAAAAAAAACCAAAAAGATTACAAACAACTGAGTGGTTCAGGGTTAAAGGCCGACACAATTACTAACAATATGTCACCCTAAACCTCTCCAACAACACCTCAGTTTAGTGTGGGCACGGTAGACCATCATCACAGGATGAGAAATATTCTTTTAAAATCTGCTCATGTACTTCTCATGGTGATTTAAATACTATTAGTAAAGGTTTCGATGAGGATTTTGAGGATTCTATTTGTGAGGATTTTAAAAATTTTCAAATCGTGTTTGTTCATCGTATATCGTACGGTCAATTTTTATCAGATACTATTCATATTTAATGTTAAATAAAAGTATTGAAAATAATTTCTGGCCACACGATATATGATGAACGAACACGATTTGAATATCCGGAGAGAATCCTCCTTCGAAATTCAGTTTACACTCTCCAACTAATTGGTCTGCTAATGTGTAATGAGATTCATGTCAAACACGTAAATAATCATATTAAATGATACGAAATATATTTAATTGTTGGGTTACATACATAGGTCAATATGCTGTGACAGCATAAATTTTTTTTTTTTTGAGTTTTATCTTTAAAATTAATTCACCATAATAAAAGATGGCCCAACTAACTGTAAATTCGCCATTTAGCATTACGATAGATAGAGTGATTTTTTTTATTATTTTTAAGTGAGATTTATTTATTCCCTACCCTTAAAGTAAATAGAATAATACTTGCATTTTCTCTTGTGAGATGAGCTCATGCCCCCACTTAAAAATAACATATTTTCACCGTAGAAATTTTATAATTCAAACTGTTCAATTTTTTAATCTTCATTTAAATATCATCCCTACAAAAGACATTTGAATCGAAGATTATTTAGTAATCCAGATGTATCAAATAAATCAACAAAGAAGATATCAAGTAACATATTAATGATGAACCGTTCATTTATTTGATACATTCAGATGACTAAATGATATTTGATTCAAATGATTTTTGGTAAGGATAATCTTCACATGAAGGTTAAGAAATTCAACCATTATGATTATGAAATTTTTACGATGAAGATACGTTGTTTGCAAGTGGAGAAATGACGTCAGCCCAAGGAGGGAACCCAAGTATT